CACTACACCACGAAGGCACTCTAAGAAAACGGGAGATATACCTTATAACCTGCAATGGAATATAGCTATGGAACACTAGATTGTAATAGGAATATAGCACAGTATCCCGGATAATTTACTACTCCCCAAAGTACCTGCCTGACTAAATGAATTATCAAGTAGACTTAACTCATGATGTACCAGTACAAGTACATTCATCTGTTATCCGCCATATGGTTTTATTAACGTGTCATAGTCTGATATGATATGTTCATCAATTTTAAATCATCAATCAATATTAAATCATCAGTTTACTTCATCAAACCAGAAGCTCAAGGATAGCACCCATTCAATCTTATGTTTTCAGTTTACAGCCAGTGTACTCCTTTGGTATGGAACCACATTTTACACTACTGCGTATCACTCTCAAGAGCCTTCAAAAGTTCAAAATAACATTTCTTTTTACTTCCTTGTACGAAGTAAAAAGGAAGTATTGTAATCGCGAAAAGTTTCAGGCAGCATATGCACGAACTTCCATTTCGCTTTCGAAGCAATTTAACGATGTTTTTTGCGTGATATGCTTTACGTAAGGACAGAATAAAAGACTCTTTTCCTCCAAAAAATTATAAACTGCTTTAAAACGAATTCTGAAGAGAATTTTTTCGGGCTCTGTACGACGTATGTACGTTCTGCATAATCTCAAAACTAGTGCCTAGAACGTTTAAATTTTTTATATAGACTACTATAACATGTATGTGCCCTCGTATTGGTTGCAATCGGCCGCGCCAAAGTATATAAATATTTATATATATATTCTCTCTGTTACCCGCTCAGTGATCTCAGTTTCATTACTCTTATCTTTGTAAGTGTACATTTTTGCTTTAAAATGATTCATGTGTTGTTCTATTCTATTTTAAGGTTTTATGCTTTAGTAATGGTATCAATATTTTTAGAATTATCACAATTTTAAAGTTGTTTCGTGCGCTAAGCGATAATTTTTTGATGGCGCATTGCTTTTTCATTTGAACGCAGATAGTGGATTTGTTGCCAATCTAGAGACGTACTTCGCAACAACAAAGATATTCATTTATTATTGCCAATTAATCATGCTTAATTCTGTCTGGAATTTTTTCGAGGAAAAGTGTTTAAGATTTACTTCGTAATTTTTAATACAGATATTTTGAGTTTTTATGTATTTTTCCCCTTGTCGCGAAGTGAGAACTGAATTAATTGAATGAGAAAGACTCAATCGTCTGTCAAAAACTGTGCCTTTTTTGTTTTGTTTGCTAATTTCTTTTATACATCGTTCTAGCTTTTTATATATTTGAATAGAACATGTGCAAGATTAGATAATTCTTTAAAATGATATAATTTTGGTTCTTTATACATTAACGAAGTAAATACGTTTGAACCTAGCGCCAGAGTGTCGCTATGTTAAACAAAATAGAGTGAATTTTTTTTGCCTTTTTTCTATTGTGTTTATGCGCTGTCGGCGAAGTTAGATTTAATTCAATCAAAATTTTAAAACGAATGCAAGAAAAATTGCGTATAATTTAATATTCCGTACAAGGAAGTCATGTGGTGTACACATCAGATTTTTTACTTTTTAGGAAAGCACCATTGTTTTCTGATGCCAGTATGGAAGTCAAATGTGAAAATCCGTATATGGCATCTCTATTCAAATCGGACTCAACAAAAGACGCTTATGAACCATTTTCTGGAAAGTTTGTCTGCAAAGAACGACAAGCAATTACTGGTGAGAAGTTATTACACTTTTACATATTTATTTCCACCTTTTCCTTATTAGTGTTGCATGAAAAATTTCTACTAAAATTTTTCTAGTATGTTGAGATTAGCAAACATACTTCGAAAAGATTGCACCACTAAATATTTCTTTGTCACAGGTTGAAAATTAATTACCGCGGTTCAAGAAATGAATCAAATAAAGTTGAACTTCAAGACTGAAATCCGGAAATCCGCTGAGTTGGCTTCCGTCCCAGAGTATTACATAATCCATACGGAATTGGTTACCAACTCAGCAGTTTAAGGTCCTTGAAGATATTAAAGCACTGGGTTTCTTAGGAAGCCGAATCCCTTACCCATCGTGCATAATACATGCATACTTACCAATACATAATACAAATATAAAATATAGGTTCAAATTTGGGGAGCAATTACATAACACAAATACACAGCACATTCTTGAATAAATGCTAATACATTCTTAAATAAGTACTAAAACATAACTGAGTTAAAAACATTATACAAACATTATTACTGTGATATCTGGCGACTGTTTGGCGATCAACAGAGCATGCTTGGCGCAGGTAGCTCTTCTTCGAGAAGGGTTAATGTATTTAGGAGTTGCATGTTAGCCTCGGAAGAGGAAGGTGTAGATTTACTATGCGGTAGGAGCGACGTACTGCTCTGAGTAACTATTATATATTATTTGAATTATATATTTAATAAATGTTTGTTTCGTCTTGCTAAATGGTGCCTTATTAAACCATGAAGTCATCACAATTACATCTTATGAAACTACTATTAAGCTTTCAATACCTGCACTTTATACCTATACACTATACATTTACCAATAAAATGTACCATATTATTACGAAAATGCATTATACAGCACGTACAAGTACAATGTATTATCAATCTACTTATTCACAAGTACTTTTACATAGAAATGCATTGTACAGGAGGTACAAGTACAATGTTTTATCAATCTAATTCTTAACGAGTATTTTTTTTTCTTTTCTGCATTGTTAGGTAAATACTAAAACCTGTTTCAAGTACTGATACATTACACACATCAAATTTACCTTACAGTGTATAGTACTTTATCCAATCTCCTATACTTTATAATATTCCTGCGCATAATACAAAACAAAAACAAAAACAAACTTCCAAGAACATTGGTGTATTGAGAATACGGCAAAGCACACTAGGGTTATCTGCCTAAGGGGAGGGATGCTTTCGTGGAGGACTTTCTAAGGGAAACTGGCTCGTATACACGTTACCATCGGGAAACCACGAAAACCCATCAAGCCAGCCCGTTCGCGGATTCGAACCTCGGACCGAATTACCAGAGTTCAGCGATTTTACCGCTCGGCCGCTGGTGGGCCTTCCAAGTACATTTATAATACAGTACATTATACAAATACTTTGTACCTGTACATTACATAGTTACCAATATTTAATACAATTGCAAGTATATTACAACTGGTACATTTATGGATAAATGACAGAAGTGCATTAATTACAAATACAATTATGATATTTATTATCCACTTAAATACTCATACATTGATTAAATACTCATACATTACTATATACTTGCATCTTACAATATCTAGTATATATTATAATCGCTATTACATTATACAATTACTACGCTGAACTTCAAGACTACGACATTATTGTTCTAATAATATGTTTTGGTAAAAATAACAAAAATGGGGCAAAATTCAAGGGCAGTTTAAGCCAGTTTAAACTCGCGTTGCCCAGTTTACTTATTATAAGAGGTAAACAAATTGTAAGGAATTATGGGACGATTTTTAAACCTGGGCCATAACCAGATGGTAAAAAGTTTTGTTTATACGCATTTGATCAAGCAAATTCTAATTAACGAATCTACAAACCTCGTACGAACGTGAAGGAAGAAAATAACGTAACAACTGGTGTCAGAAAAGAAAAACGCAACAATATTTATGCTAAATGAGTTATATTACATTGCTGGATGTTTTTTTCTCTTTGTTTAACATTATAGTTCGGTTAATATTATCAAAATAGACGTGAATAAACATGATTAAATTAAGCGGCGCATATTGTAACTAAAATGGAATTACAGCTAGCCTTCTTTTTTTTAAATAACTCAGTTTGTTTTTCTGATGCATTTTGCAGGTATAGAAGTTTGTTTCCCGGTCAATTTGGAATATGTCGCTACCGAGTGCACAACTTTGCAAGATGGTTATGACATTCATATAGAAGAAGAAACGTTGTTCCACAATTCGCCAGAACGACCAGAGAAAGCAATCTGTGACGATAAACAAGCAATGATATCATTGCAACTTAAAAAGGAAGGCAGAGACGTCAAAGTAATCATAGGATGTGCATCTATCATAAAGAAATGATTGATTGCCCTGCTTCGAATTACCATCCGTTTTGCGTCAATATTACATGAGTAACAGATTAAAAACTTTAACGTGATTCAGCTAAATTATTATGTCTGTGGATCACGATACCATTGTTTAAGTATTTTCTTAGAATAGCTTTTGAAATTTCAAATGTCGCACAATTTTTTAATCATTATTTAACTCTTTGAAGACCATAACGCCCCAGACAGCCTTTCATTCAAGCGACCACAACCGCCCAAAACGGCCGAAATTCCGATGTTGTTTTCTTCCCTCCCCTAAGGTATGCAGTAGCAGGTGCAGTTCCCCCAAATGCATTGTATCAGTTTATTACAGACAGCTTGTCCTAAAAGGATTTATTTGTGGTTTCTTATCTTTATTGGTTAGGAAATAGACAGGATGACATTTGAAATCGTCACTCTTCTTTGTGCGTTAATGGACGGGGAGGGAAGGAAATTACTGTGACTCTCGAAAACCTTTTCGGGCGGTTCGGTATTTTATGAGTACAGGTTAACGAAAACTTCGATTTTCAAAGAGTTAATTATAATCTTAGATCTTGGCAAACACCTTTCTGCAACTTTGAAGAGAACAATCCTGAAGAAACTAAAAAGTTCTTTTGTATGTTAAAAATCTGTATCGGACGAAATGGTTAACAATTGTTTTCATAAAGCTTTCTCTTTCATCATGCACCATTTTCTGATATTAAACATATTTATAAAATGATATATGAAAGTCATTCTATTACAATGTCTAAAAGAGCACTAATTAAAATTCATGATACATTTATGTGTAGTTTCTCCTTTTTTTGGAATTCTAGGCAGTACAAAATTATGAAGCATTGAAATATCAAGTAAAGAATAAATTCTTAAATTAAAATAATTCTAAAGAGTACTTTTTATGCAAATTTCTAGATAGCAATTAATATTTTTAGTCCAAAGGGGCTTTGTCCCTGAAGGACTATTGATTTCGTTTTGCGATTTTGCGTCGGACTCATAAACGTCGGTTCACTTTTCAAACTGTTGCCACAAAATGTTAGAGTCCTGCATTATATTTGAAGAAATTAAATAATGAAAAATCTGCATAAATGATTGTCTATTTCTCGCATTGTGATAAAACAATGGTACATAGAGCCATCGAATTTTGAATGACGAAATCCTATACTGCGAATATGGGCATCTGAAATCCCAAATTTGGAATTTGTTTTATTATAGATTTTATATTTTGTAAAACTTTAACGAATTTTTGATTTACAAACTCAATGCTTTAAAAGCGAGAAATGGCAACGTTATATAGAAAAAAAAAAATACTTTTATCTCCAGCTCGCGAGACTGTGTATATCGGAAATTCTAAAGATATGCTTAATTTAACATTATTTTGCGATATTGCTCTTGAACTGAATTTATGGTTTATGGTTTAAGTGCAAAGAACATGATATTTAATAATAAAGGTAACACTCAAAACGTTAAAAAAACGCCCCTTTGGACGTAATTTAAAATCTGAAACATTTCAGATTTTTTTTTTATCTTATTTTAATTATTTCTAATCTCATTGAAGTCGCTGGATAAATTTTCGCTTAAAAGTACTTGCATATTTATCCTCGTTATAAAATAATCTGTACGAGGTTAGAAAAAAATTAAGATTTTTTCGGGGGGGGGGGCTTTACTAAATGTAAAAATGATTTTTCTTTTAAAATATTTCAAAGCTGATAACGAAAAAAAAAGAACCAAATATTGCCATCATGGGCAATATTTGATCACACAAGCTTTAACTAATTACTTCAACCTCTTTTAGTCCAACTGAATAGTAATTAAATTAACATATTCTGGCACATCGCTAAACGATGCACTGCATGATATAAAATTAAGACATGCGTATCCAACTTTTCAGATTTTGGAGTCAGCGTAACCTAATGACGGCCTAACAAAGAGTTGCGTCTTCTTCTAGAAACATAAACACTTGTTGTCGCATACATAATTTTAAATTTATGATCTACTGTAATGTAACTTATATTACTGCTGACTTTAATATTACATTTACAGTAAGACCCCGCTTAACGCGGGGATACGTTCCATCGAAGTAGAGCGTAATGCGAAACAGCGCTAAGCGAGGCTAACATGTAAATAATGGGGTTAGGGGAAGACGGATAAAAAATGGTTAGGCATTGAATTTAATAATGTTTTTTTTAATAAAAATAAAATCAAACATTTATTTCTTACAAAAATAAAAACAATATAAACGCATATACTTTTAAAAAACAATAAAATTCTCAGTCAGATCATTCAGTCTATTCTGGGTTTCCAATTTTCTGCCTTTTTGTCAAGAAGGCATTATGATAGATTGGCTTAATGGCATATTGCGTTCAATTTCGTCGTCAATCCATATAGACAGTCGTTTTTCCATTTCCTCTATAATGTTATTTCTAGAACGGGTAATTCTAGTTGCAGAGCTTGACGTAGTTGCAGTTGCCGATGACAGTACTTTTTCTTTATTCTTAAGAATTGTCCTTATTGTTGAAGTTGCCAAAATCAATGCAGCACTAATTTGAGATTGACGTTCACCAGAATTTAATCTTCTAATCACTTGCATTTGAGTTTCCAGTGAAATGCTTTTTCTGGTTGCTTTCTTTTCTTGTTTTTTATTATCACCCATTATAAAAACTAAAGATCATAATATTTGTCACTGAATTAATCGTTATAGTATTATACAAATTTAAACTTACAATAATGTCAAAAAATGTTTCAAATGATAAAAATGCGTCCACAAAGCAAGAAACACAACTACACTGTTTCGGATATGTTATTTGGAAACCTAGCGCTGCGCACAATTTCGGAGAATCCCCGGGTTGAAATAAAAGAGCGCTAAACCGAAACAGCGCTAAACGAAGCAGCGTTAAGCGGGGTCTTACTGTACTTTGTATTTAATAACATAAGAAAACAAAATACGGACGTGGCATTTTATGAGGATATTCAAGCATGTTTCACCATTTCGTTGCATTTACACGTAAGCGATTTTAAAAACTATTTTCAAGTCGTTCATTTGAAAGTTTTGCTTTCATTTTGCATTTTTTCGGCTTCATACGTGAAAACTTTGCTCGGAAATATATATATACGTTCACAAATAAAATTTACAACTAGAAAATTTCAAGAGCAATAGAAACTTTTCTTGAGAAATTTGAATCATGTTTCTCCTCATTTCAAATGGGATTACAGCTCTATGTGCTCCAAGATCAAAAGTTATTGTGAACTAAAACTGGAGAGCTAAATCTACCGAAATGCAGCTTGTGCTTTCTTAAATCTGAAGATTTGTTCTAGTTAAATGATAACTCAACGTTGCATATTTTTCTTCCTTCATATGATTTTGCTCAGGAAGGAGTTTAAGAGGAATTAACCCTCTCAGCATTTTGAGAAAGAGATTGTATTGTTTCCTAAAGCGTCAGCAACTTTCTCAACAAAACTTTTGAAAAGTGTGGGACGTATCTTTCGCTGAATGCACCTAAAACTTTAAGTAGTTTTTTTTTATGAGCCTCGTATTGTAACATCTTTCTCTAATGATTGCTGTTTCCCCATTACCAATTAAGCGCAGCAGGAGGTCGAGGGAACGAGAATACAGAATACTCGAGGGGGAAACCTCAACGATTTCGAGGGGGAAAATGTAAGGCAGAAAAAATTGTTTGAAACGATTTCGACTCCATCAAAAGCTGACAGAATATTCCGTTTGTAACGATTTGGAAAGCCATCTTTTAATACGGAATAATCCGTCGGTAACGCTGAGAGAGTAAAGCTGTTGCTGGTGATGTGAGATCGTTTCAATTTCACTTTAATTTTGAACGGTATAATTCCTTAGAACATCAAGTATTTGCAGGCTTTGGCCTCAAAATATGTATTCAGCTCATTTAAATGAATAAACGTGTTAGTAACTGGGATAACGGCGTGATGTCCGCTATTCCAGGCACTTATAGCGCGATGACACTATAAGTGTTTGTGGCCTACACAGCTGCCCTTCTGGATCACGTGGCATCCTTAACCTTTTGAGGTCGGGGCTTTGGTAGCAGTAAAAGCTACCAAAGGACGGGGAATCTTGAACCGAATGCTTTCCCCCCTTTAAGAAATCACCTATTTGCAACAAAGATTCTTGTGTGTAGTTTAATGGATTCTCAGAGGGGTGTATCTATATCGCAAAAGAAAGACCTTTGAAAGAGATAAGTGGTTAAAACCCCAGGAACGTCAAATTTGACATTTCACCCCACTTTTCAGCCTGGAAAATGGAGGAAAAAGACATGGCCACTAAAGTGGACAACCCCGTCTTTTCAAAGAGAGGACTCTATGGCCACTATAATGACCATCCCGTCTTCAAAAGGTTAAAAAGATGTCACCGCGGCCGTCTTGTACATGCTCTGAAAGGACATAAATAGTACCAAGTTAAATGACGTCAGACATAATAGTTTCATTTGTGGCAATGACAATTTTATCTTGAACTACGTATGTAGAGGAGATGGCATTATTCTTTTCCTTTATTATTTTTAATCAACTAATCTAATTATTTATATGTAATTATTTGAATTTATAGAGTTATTTTTATTTGAACACCTAATTAGCTAATAGTATTAAGTCAGTTTTAATTGATTGACACAATTATTTTAATAACAATAACTTTTCAGTGAACGGATTTTCTACCATTGTACGATTTTTCAAATGAACCCTCAATCTGAGTTACTTGTCACGCATTTTAGAACCACACCAATGGAGTTTTGAGAAGGAAACCGTCTATTGCTTTCAGTGGAAAACGATTGCGATGTCACTGCTTACAGAACTTATCAGTGACGGTTGAGTTTTCAGTCATATTGGTTAAAAAACCCCAAGTCAGCAAGTCACTCCATGTCCATCCAATTTTTGGTTATCATATCTTTGGATATGGGAAAAATTTTTAATTTCCGACCGCCTTCCAACAAACCTTGTTAAAAGTTTTATCGACTCAACCACTTATTTCTGCATGGTAAATTACATCACCATACTTGTTATTTAGACCATCAAGCAAAGTTCTAAAAAGTCGATGATTTAAATGCCGTCTCCAGATAAAATTTACAATGTTTACAACTACAATCATTAAGTGATTGAGATTAAGATTTTTAGCAGCCAGATTTTCTTGATAAATAACGCAGTGTTATGTATTAAATTTGGAAAATGAGTCAGCCTTCTTACAGAGAACAATAAACCCAGTATTATTCCCTAACGTAATCAAGGGGCCGTCGATTGTGACTGCGACGAGTTTTTTATTGATACGTTCTCTACAGTAATATAATTTTTAATTTCTTCATGTATGTGTTGCCGAGTGTGTTTTGCCAAAGTGAATAGGCTCAACAATACTTCTTTCAACAAGAAACCAGAAAACACCATTCTCGTAAACAACAGAAGTTGCGTTGAGTCTGTAATATCAGTGGATTCATCAAGCTGCAGGAGAAAATTAGCATATTTTTCTCTTTCATATCCTATTTATCCATAGATATAGTTCGCTATATCGCCCAGTCTTCTTACTGCCATGTTTCGTGATAGAGGCACATCTTTTATCCCTTTCCGGCATGCTACCTTTTAAAGCCAGAGTTTTGATTAAAAAAAAAAAAAAAAAAAGGTAGGCAGTCTCATTAGGCCTAGAGGAGTACACAAGTAATATTTTGTGAAGATAGCGCTTATCTTTTTAATTCTGTAGATGTGCACACTGATTGAATAGAGCTTCCAAAAGAGTGCTGAAACGAGCATTGTTGTCAATGAACTAACTGATGAGATCCGG